TATACATATACTGTATGCATATAGTTTTGCAATATTACAAAGAGAAAAACTATAGGAAGTGAAATTGCATCTAGCAAAGCAGGTTTTCCACATTTGACTTTATTTAAAGACGTGTGAATGCATCTTTTTTTTCTTTTCTGCAGAACACAGTAAAAAAGATGTACAAAGCTCAGTTAAAATACACACATGTCCTTCCTGTGATGGCATCATAAATAGTTTGAGTTGAGTTGAGCGACTTTGAACTCACACATGGGAGGCTTCTGTGATGTACAGCTGACTGCAGCTGGGAAACACCCAGAGAAGCATAAAAACCAAAACATGCAATGCACACACAAATGAATACGTTTCATCTTACTACATTCACTCTCTCCCTCCCCACACATCCCCTAAGCACACACAAACACGCACAAACACACCAGCAGAGTTCCCACTATTACCCAGAGGTACTGTTTGGTGGTAACACTTTGTTCCACACGAGAGGTGCTGAGATGTCTTTGGAGTCCAGAAGGACAGGGAACAAGTATGAAGCCTGTGTTAGAGGGAAAAAAAATGCACTTCTTATCGGATGTAATTATACATTGAAGACTGCATGTGTGTGCTACATTTTTTGTCTGCAAATCTGTTATGTAAAACAAAAAACAACATTAAAAAATGTCAGATTAATTGTATCTCTCCTCAGAATGTTTCATTTATGCATGGCTTTTACCGGTACTACACACGTATATAATAATAATGTATTATAATATGTAGTATATAGTGTATACATTGTTCTCGTAAACCAAAATTACCTATCTTGAGTGAATACTGACAGCATTTTATGATAGCAAAACTTGGTGTCACAGGTGGAGTCTCTCATCAAAAACAGGCAAATGCTCCTCTAGGTGGCACCGTCATCATGTGAGAAGCTGACAAACTCTGAAACAGGAGTAAATCAGAATGAGCACCAAAAGTTCACTACAACTTAGACAGCAAACAGAGACTAGAATATTTCAGACTCTCCTTTTTTATTTTATCTTTAAGCCTCCAGTTTTAGTAATAAAGCAGGTAATAAAAGAGACCAAGTCTCAGTTAAAACACAAACTAGAAATGTTTTTGTTTTTAATCCTGTAAAATGAAATTTGGGTGTGTTTTACTAATAACAACTCATAATTAAGATAAGTATATAAGGAAGTTTGCTTATTTATTTGATCCCCATTAGCATCAGCAGCATGCTGCATCAGCTATTCTTCCTGGGGTCAATTTAAAGGTAACACCAAAAGGGGACATCCTGATTTTTTGTTTACCATAACAATATTATTTGAACTTTTACTCTCTCTGATAGTGACTCAAAATATTCTAAAGAAACATTTCAATTATTTTAACTGTGTTGTTAGCCATTTTAGCAATGTTCTGTCCATCCACATTCAGACATTCCCCTTTGTCATCACTTCCTGTTTCAGCACGTCAACTGTTCATCTCAGCAGCGTGATTTTTTTTATCTATTTATTTTTTGCAATATGTTATTAATGTTATATCTCCAAAAATGCATTCATTTTCATTAAAAATTGTGATGTCACAGCCACCTTAATGTGTAATGTTTAAGTTCTTACTCAGTAAGTACTCTACATTGGTTCTTGTGTGGCAGGATGAATTGCACCTGCTGGCAGGGTAATTGTGGTGTGGCAGCCAATGACACTAGAGGGTGCTCCCTATAAAAAGCACAGGTAAACTGCAGGTTTAGATTAGATTGGTTGGCTGAAGACACGTCACCGTGTGGTCCAGTGTTGTGCCTGCTGGGTGCCAAGTGCAGGTGAGGATGGCTGTCATGCACACTTRTAATTGTTTCAGCACAGTTACTTATAAACTTCTGCACCAGCAGATAACTGTCGGCATGTTTGCCCTCACCACTGATTGTGGGTGTAGTGGCTGCTGTGGCCAGAGTTTGTGCCCTTACGTGATCTCCCCACAAGTGAGAGAGGAGATTGGCATGATCGGTATGTGGACACTATGCACTGACTCTTATTGTTTGTAAATTGCTTTTAACCTGTTAATGTAATGTTTTATCAGGAATTGTGGGTGGCAGCTTTTAACTTGACCCCATCAGCCCCGCTGCTGCTTTGCCTCATTTTGATTCTCCTGTGTTCCTACAAAATGTTTGACTGAGGTGTGGCGCTCGAAGACACGCCCACGCCACGGAGGAGGGGAAGCAGAGGTTTACTATCCAGCAGTCTGGTTGAATCAATTGTTTCTCTGCTGATCAAAGACTACTTCTAAACCACAACTTTCCAATTTTATCTGTAAATTGTCTTTTTGGTATTTGTTTATTTTTTGTTTCTAATTTTGTTTTTATTCTTTTAGCTCAGTGCTGAGGACCAGTGACGGTGGTGTGGTTGACCTGGATGGCGGTGTCCCTTTTGTGTGTGCATGCTTGCGGTGATCAACACAGGTGGAGGGAAACCCAAGGAGTGAGTGTGGTTTCACGTGTGTTTGTAGTAGTTTGTCTTTGGGAGCCGCTCGTCCAGAACAGGTCTGGCACCTACCGGTAAGCCTCAGTAGCTGAGCATTAGTAGTTTGTTTTCTTTTGTTTTTATTTTTTGAACAGTTTGTTTTTTAATCAGTCTATCACATTTTGTGTTTTAATAAAACAACTTTCTGTACTTGAAAACTGTCTCTTGCTTTTTGCAAAACCGTACCTGTGTGTCTTGACTTTTGATTTTCTGGGTGAAAGTTATTGGTTGTTGGTGACAACCAAACTTTAATGTTATAGCCCCAGAAGATCACCACTTGCCACACTTGGAATCAGTGAATACCCAAAGTGAAGTACTCATACAAAATTTAAGAAAAACTTGTGTCAGGAATGAATCACATACGTGTACATGTGTGTTCATACAGTCATATTGATATAAGAGACTGTGAACTGACAGCTATTCACAGTCAGTCTTAAGATGTGTGTCTGTGAATGCACATGAATTGAGTTTAATTATTTAACACATATATGGCAAAACATATGGGGCAAAGACAGGTTTTGGCTTACTTTAACTTTTGCTGAAACTTGGACCACACATTCAGCCAGACAAGCTGTGTGAGGCCTGTCTGAATAAGATTAATATTAAAACTTAACCCTGAAAATAACTTGTTCTGCTTTTCGTATAAAATCTACAACAACTTTCTGGTTTGGGAATTCTTGACTCTTCGGATATTTTTCTAGGTCATGATCCAAGGCAAATGAAAAAAAAAACTTTAAGATCTTTATTTTTAGATCTTATTCAGTATGAAGCAGGTGATAAAAGTCTGTGATTGATTTGGAAAGTTTGAATGTTGAATGAGTTAGAGCAGGCTGCTGATAGCGTTTTGATCCTGGATCTTGTACAGACTTGCAAACTTGGGCCTGAATCCTAAATGTTCAGCTGCAGCATTAAAAACTTTTAATGTCATACTATGATTTATTGCTGTTAAATGCTTATTAATCTGTTAAGAGTATTTGACAGTTGAAGTGCAGGTTAGGGGATTTCTCAGGTTTTTCAAAAAAAAAAAGAAAAGAAAAAGGAAAATGAATTAATTTAGAGGACATATCAGAAAAATAAGGCACAAAACAGTAAAAATGGCTTCCGTTTTATTAAAAACTCCTTTAAGCTGAGATGATGGCATCTTATGGTGAACTAAACTTTCCTGCATACCTCTCCTGCTTCCTTCAGTCTTTGTATCTCTTCTCTCTTTAACTCATTGCTTTAACATAACTTGGTAAATGGTAAATGGACTGAACTTATAGAGTGCTTTCTCAAGTCCCTCTGGACCCCACTAACCACTCCGCCACAGCCACCCCTATAACTTGTCTTGTAATGCATTTTTAATACTGTGCATCCTTTTAAACTCTGTATTCATTTAGCCAGTTGGGTTTTAAATTACAATATTTGCACAGATTTGTCAGAATTTAGGTACAATAAAGCATAAAAAGGCCTTTGGGTAAGAAGGTATGACCTTTAGAACGAGTATTAAAAGGACTTAATGAAAAATGTGTAATCAATGGCCTGCTTCCCATGACAACTAAATTATTGGGAGGGAAACATAAATGTTTTACCATATAGAAAAAATAGTAAAAGTTCTGGTTAAGATTATTATTTTTTTACCTCTGTTCCTGAGTGGATTTGGTTTATACTAGTAAAGTCTTCAGACCTAATTTAAAGCTATGCCATCATCAGCCAACATGATTGAAGTAATCAGAGTTACAATCAATGTCTTTATTTTTTTTCAACTTGTTCATTTCCTTAATTTGTCCTGGATCAAAGCGTTCCTCTAAAAGTCTGCTTATGCTTTTGTTCTGAAATATAGAAGAACAAACTTCCAACCCTGGAGGAAGAAGCTCCAAATCACATAAAAAGTGAAATTAGGTTGCTTATTTGCCAAACCTCACTTGTTTATTGCATTGAGACACAAGCTAGAACCGTGATTTCTCAATAAGCCAAATGAAACAAAAACAACCTGATTCATGCAATGTTTGAATAAAAGCTTTTTATCAGTGAAATAAAGGAAAATATTCACAGTTTCAGTGCAGACTCTCATGGTTTTCAATTTATTGGTCTAAACTTCAACCACTCCATGCAACAAAATCTGTCTGGCCTAACTCTGGCCCACACAACGTGCTAAAGACCCTGTCTCACTATACTATTCTAGACAACTTATGCCAACTTGTGAAAATTTGTTGACTATTTTATTCAAAATGGCTATATAGTCGTTCAGTAATTGCTAGCGTTATAGGATGTATTGGTTCTAAGGACACTTCCAGTACATTTTTTAATTCCATCTTCAGCTTCGTCTTTGGTGTTGGACAAACTTTTTTATAAGTTAGCAGTGGCGGATCTAGGATTTTTCAGTGTAAGGGGCCATAAAGGGGCCACAATAATCATTGAAGGGCCAAGCATTTTTTTCAAACATCCTTGCACACAAATTCCCAGTTTTTGTAAGGTTTATACATTTAACCAGTCACACATGTTCAAACACTTGTAAAAGCTTGCACATTAATTTCTCCTTATCAATTTTACATGATTTATTTACCGTACATAAATTAAGTACTCAAACACACACATGTAAGAAAATCTAGCCATCGAAAATAAACGTTTGTTTTTTTTGGTGTCACTGATCAAGAAAAAAAACTTTTCTGCAGGATTGTTCAAATTAAAAAAGACTGTAAGCTTGCTTTATGTTGGACTTTCCTATTTGACTCACTGGCGCCACTAGTGGTTGGAAGTGGAACTGCATCCACCATCATTGTTCTTGGGCAAGGATAGATGAGTGAAAGGACTGGGACATTTCAAGGGGCCAATCAGATTTCAGATGGGGCTAATGCCCCTGTGGCCCCACCACTAGAACCGCCCCTGTAAGTTAGCATTGGTTGTCTAAAATGTTATAGTGTAACAGGGCCTTAACATCTGGCGCAGATAACACAATGTCGGCCCTTTGGTGGCCCAGATGTGGTTTGTCAGAGGTGGTCCATTCATGGGCCAGCACTACATAAACCAAACCAGAATCGGACTAGTTATGGTATTACCAGACCACTTGTCATGCTAGCAGTCAGTCAGCAATGACAGCTAGATATCTAACCCACACCTTTTTGCTATACGCATAGTATAGTAGTATAGTATAGTCTGATTCATTAAGAAGTAAACAAACTTACTTATTAAAAATGTTCTTATGTGTCATATGTCAGCATTTTTGCAAACAACTAACTTGATAAACTGATTTAAACTGAAGATGTACTAAGTTTCCTGGTGCAAACAAAATATATATGTTAAAGTGTTTGTTTGTTGGTTAAAATAAACAAATGTGGACCTGTCAAAGTGCCAGTGTTCATCTGGTCTTGTGAGCAGTTCTAAGATCAGTTTAATGTTTTTTTTCCTTGTTTTTCATTTTCAATAGTCATTTTGGTAACATTTATTGCTCATTGAAAAAAAATGTTTAATTGAGAGATTCTAAAAATTGCAAGATTAAAGTATCGAAAAATTCTGTATGAAACTGCTGAGAGTCATCTGCAGCCCAAGTTGTTTATGTGACCCCTGTCTGAGGATTTAACATTTTCAAAACAGCACATTTAATGAGACAGCTCCAAACTCAAGGTGGATTTATGGTTGTGTGGAAAAGCTTTTCTTTAACTTTTTTTTTTGCAACATGATGACAAACAGGCAAGTAATTGAAATTTTTGCGAACACAGCTGTAATTTATCTAACTTGAATAAAAACATTTTATCGGCTGGTGTTGGTGCCTTAAGAATGCATTTAGAACTCAGCTCCTACATGTCTCAGTCTCCACTTTAGTTAGAAATTAATTTTGCTGTGTACCCCTAACATTATTACTCTAACTGTATATGTGAACCAGTTGGCTCCACTACAAGTGCAGCAGTATATTTGTATGCAGTAAGCCCAACAGTAGAGCTCTCACTAGTCATGCAGTCATTGATCAACAGGTGGAGCTATTCCACATGAGATGAACCCAGACAGTAAGTGATCCTGACCCATTGTGAGGTCCTGGCTGCAGTCTGTTCATGTGAGTTCAAATCTGGGCTCTGCTGAGAGGCAGATGACAGATGTGTGTGATGCCACAGGTATTCGTTGCAGAGGTTTGCTTTGTTTACTGTTGCAGTTTGCAATAGCATGGCTGTGTATGGTTTTCAGACATGCATTTCTTCTGCAAAAAATACACAAAACCTGGTGTAGTAGGCTTGTTTGAAATACAGTATATGATCCTGTGTAAAAACTGTGTGATTTGAAAAAAATAAGTTTACATGAAAAGACAGAACTGGCTATAACAAAAGGGAGTGTTACTGAATTTTCATCTAGTTTTACAACTGGCAAAAAGTTAATTTTACTTCTATATGTCCATAGAAGTGACATTTAAAAAAGAGAGAATAGAAAAGAATCAAACTCAAGTGTTTCAAACTAAAATGGATTTCTGCCATTTTAACACAATTTCAGTCTCCAAAATGTCATTGTGTCTCATTCTAAAACTTCACAGTGCTGTTGCTTTTGTAGATGTTTATGGTAAACAGTAAATGGCCTGCACTTATATAATGCTTTATCAACAGGGGCAGAGCCAGAGAGGTGGCAAGTGCCACCCCTGGCACCTGACTGGCCACCCCCTAGTGATTGACAAGTGGGGTGGCGATCACATGGGGCATTTCAAAGATGAGAAATCAATGAGAATTGTTTTGACTAGCAGGGTTAACTTTCAGAATGGCATGGGGATTGCTTTTGGCTACCACCATAACAAATTTCAGCTTAATATTCCTAAAAGTGGCTGAGCTGTAGCCATTTGAAATCAGCTTTGGCAGCCAACTTGGATCTAATATTTGAAATCAGATTTTGTTGAAAAAAATTGTTTCTGGGCTACTACCACACTATTTTTCAGCTTTGTATGTTTAAAAATGGCTAAATTATAGGTCTTTGTAAATTAGCATTAACATTAGCTTAGTTGTTACTAGCAAGTATTTGTTTTATCATTCTTGGCTACGATCACTCACAAAAATTAATCTGTGTATCTCCTAAACAGCTGAAATAGAACCATTTGAATTTAGCTGTAGCGGACATCTTTAACTTTCAAATCTAGAGTAGTTTTATCTACTCGAATGTGCCCCCAGAAA